CCTACTCTCATTTCTTCATTATTTGACATATTTCTTATTTTGAGGGAAATTTACTTCAGTGAAATATATAAATCTTAGCTGTCTTATTTTGACAAATGAAACCCATATTGCTATCAGAGAACACCTTCATCTTTCCAGAGAGCTCTCTCACATCCCCTCTTAGCCCCTACAGATTTCCCATCCCATGAAGGCAATGATTTTTCATACTTTTAAATCTTAGATGAATTTTGCTTGTTCTAAACACTACATTCATGGAATCTACAGTATTATTTTATGTCTACTTTCTTTCACTCAGCATAATTTTCTGAGATTTATCCATTTCAGTACTTTTCCTCTACTTTAGCTGATTACTATTCCACTGCATGAATATACACCACGTTTGTCAGTTAACTTATTGATGGACATTTGGATTGCTTCCAATTTTGGGCTATTATTAATAAACCCACATGCATATTGTACAATGATTTCTATAGACATATGTTTTTTTGTATGCTTGGATATATACCTAAAGTGGGTTGATTTATACTCATGGAAGCATTGGGAATAGAGTAGAGGGGTCAAGCATAGTGTCAATAAAATCAGTAAGAGCCTCCTAAAATGGGTCAGGGGAGAGATTATGGGTGGCTTACACTAGGTATAGACTGGAATAAACTGGAGGGGGTCAGGTTTGAAATTTGTATGATGAATGTAATCAATAATATTTGATGACAACCTGAATACAAGGGTAAGAGAAATTAAAGAATGAATGGAGTACATGTTGGGAATCTTTGCTGCAATTGAGAAGAAGATGGAAAGACAAACCAAAGGTTTGATTTTGCAAAGGCAGGAGCATCCAAGAGTAGATATTAAGGAGGCACTTGGAGTACAGAGCTCAGGGAAAAGGTAGAACTACTGTTGTACTTGCATACAATTTTCACACTTCCCAGACCAAGAATTCTCCTTAAAATACCTTGAAATATGGCAGAAGGATAAAAGTGGGTTTTATTTTATAGGAAAACTCTGTTGAATTAGTAATAGTTACCTGGAATCCTATGAAATAAAGAGATTCAGCAACCACATTCGGGAGTGGTGGGCAGGAAGATGTGCTATGGTTTGTAAGCAGTGTCTTCTAGGTCATGAAATAGCACTGTGGCAGAACTCAAGGAGGATCATTTCTATGACTGAGAAAGTAGAAATTCTTCATCAAAACAGTCTAAAAAGTGAAAAATATTCCCTGGAATAACCAAGCATCAACAGTATTGATGTAAAAATATAATGTGGCCTGATAAGGATCAATTCATAATTTTTATTTCCTTATTCCAATTCTTCTTTCAAAGTTTTCAGTATTGGACAGGTCCTCAAGGAATATTTTGACCTTTCACCTGATCATCAAATTGTGAACAAAAATAAGAATGATCTGAGTTCTTCATATTTAGGTGGGGTCCTCTCATATCTTGAGGGTAAGCAACCCATTCTTATGAAAACCCACTCCAAAGCATTGTAAACTTGAATACAGTAATGAATCATTTAAATACTTTCAGGAAAATGTTCAAGAGTAGGTTAGACAGGTAATCAAAGTATTATGTTGGATTTTTTTTTCTCCCCAATAGAAGCCATGAGTACTTCCATTATCAATAACACCATAAGTGCATTTTAGTTCATTCATCTAATCATCAGGCTTTTATTGGACACCGAATTCATATAGGTCCAGTAGTTTGCCTGCATATATGGTGTTTTTTTGTTTTGTTTTGTTTTTTGTCTTTTGGAGACAAGGTCTCACTATGCAGTTCAGGCTGGCCTTGAGCTCACTTTGCAGCCCAGCCTGGTCTTAAACTCCCAGCAATCCTCCTGCCTCAGCCTCCCAAATGCTGGGCTTACAGGCATGAACCACCACGCCCGGCTGCCTGAGTATAGATACAAAAAAGCATGGGTATTGTCTTTGCAAGGTCACACCTAGAGATATGCAAATAAACTCAAGAGGAGTTGAGTTCATTATTTTGTTAATATTCCAAGGAAAATCCAACAAGAGTCCTCAGAGGGCTCAATCTTCAAAGAACACTAAAGTAAAAGTTTCTGTGGAGGAAATGCTGGGGAAGGGCAGTCCAAGCAGAGAAGCTGGCATGGAACAGGTCTGGATGTGGGAGGGAGCAGCTGGTTGATGCAGAAGCACACGGATTGTGAAGAAGCCAGGCTGAAGCAGCAGAGGTGTGCTGGGCCTGCGTGCTGATTGGATTTAAGCCTGCTGCAGTGGGAGCCCGGAGTGTTGGGGTGGGAGTCAAATGTATATTTTAGAAAGATTTTTATGGCAATGCACTGACTGCAGGTGGTGAAGGAATACAACAGAAAGAAAACTGCAGGCAAGAGGCAACTGGAGGCAAGAAGGCAAGGAGAAAGACTACAGGCGCTAATGCCAAGGGTGATGGGCTAGGGCCACAGGTCCGAATTCGGGGTAGTGAGGGAGAAATGAGGAAGAGGGGAAGGTAAAATTTTAAATATTTGGAAATGAGAATCCACAAAACCTGACAGTAAAATGGGTGATAAAAGTATCCATATGAGAACGTACCTGACTGGAAACAGGAACTTCATAAAGTCTTGTGCAGGGTGCTTTGAAAATGACTGTGACAGAAGCAAAGATCTGTCTGATTCCAAAGTCCATGCTCTTTCTATTTTACCACATTCCCAGGCAGCCTGACCTCTGCTCTCACTGCATCCTCCTGTAGCCATGACAAAGCTCTACAAAGAACCCACAGTCCTCTGGACATTTTCAAACACATACACTTTTGTGTGCGCGCACACTTCCACCCAGTTAAATGTGGCCATATTCTACTTTTTTAAAAAGCCTAAATCAACTGTCTCTTCCCCTAGAAAACTTGTCAAATCTTCTTATCTAAAAGTGAGATCTCTTTAATTTTCAAACTTTTACTTCATCCTTCTACAGTTCACCTTAGGTTTGAGTCAATTCTTTGTATTCTATCTTTGTATGCTAGACCCTGAGGTTTTTTTTTTTTTTTTTTTTTTTTGGTTTTTGGTTTTTCTCCGGTACCGGGAACTGAACTCACGACCTTGTGCTTGCCAGGCAGGCGCTTTGCCACTGAGCTAAATCCCCAGCCCCTAGACCCTGAGTTTTGGTGCTGCTGTGCCGAAGCATTGCTATTCTTCAGGGATCCTGTGGTACTAAGTGACATTTCCCCTTAGAGTTTACATAGTGATGTTATGTGTGTCATCTCACTGGGTTGTTACAGCTTGAAACAGAGTCTGGAGGAACAACTGTTAAGTCTAGACCTTCAGATTTGTTCCTTATCTCTGGTGGTCTGCCTTCCAAGGAGGACCCACAATGAGCCGGGCACTAGGACTTCACAAATGAAGTACATTCTTAAAATAAATCCTCAGTTTACACTTTCATTCCTGTGGCACTGGCAGCTTGACTCAAAGGCAAGCAGAAGGCCTTGGAATGTTGTCCTTGAAACTTCTTTCTCTTCGTTCTCTTCCAAAGTCAGCTGCCTCTGTGGATTCCAGAGTAATGTGTTAAGATTTCTGCCCATATATTTAGGTAACAAAAATGCTCGTGACTCCTCTCAGGAAATACAGGCATTTAGGATGGGAAATAATGTGGGCCCACAGACTCCATGGAGAACCTTCATGCTCATTGAGTGTTTGAGATGTGCCAAGTGACACACTAGGCATGAATTGAGTTCTTTTCCACTAACTTATGGAGAATGTCAATATTATGATCTCCCTTCCATAATAGAGGAAAGAGGAGCTCAGATACAAAGGGCCCCGTGCAAGTTCGGACCACCAGCAAATGGCAGAACCATTTCAAAATTCAACCATTTCCCATGATTCTAAGGCCTACACCCTTTCCTATACTCTATGTTGCTTCCCTAAGCAAAGAAGACCCCTGAGGGGTTATTTCTACAGGTCACTCTGCCCAGGGTGAACCTTGCACAACTAGGCCGCTGGAATGAACGAGGGTTTTGCCTACAGTCCAATTTTTGCATTTAAAGAAAGAGAGAAGTAAGTAAGTAAAAGATAAACAGAGGGCATGCAAAAAGTTAAGTTGAGATGAAGGACAAGAACAGAACAATCAGGATTGGGAATCCTAAGGAGAATTACTTGGCTGGAGTCTGAAAGACCCTTCTCCCAGGTGGCAAGTACTTCTTAGCACCAACCATCTTTGTTTTCAAGAAATTTGGTTAATCCACCGACATCCTTGAGCAAGCACTAGAACTACCCACAATTCTGCAGGACAAACAGTGGTGAAGAGACTTTGTTTGTGGTCCTACAAGTGCTGGGTTACAGAACCTGGCTTTGAGTTTAAGGAGTTTGAGTGTAGGTTCCACCCACTTACTTAACTAGTGGATAGGCCTCCTGAATGATGACTGTAAGTAGATAGGATCTGCCTCATAGAGACTGTAAATTTGAGGCTGTAAATCTCAAATTTACAGTCAAGATTCTTACCCTCTAAGAATCAGAAAAATGAGGAAGAGCAGATACAGTGTTGTGACCAACCCAGGCAATGGTCCTGAACCACCTGGCAATTAAGTCACTCATCTCTGTGAAACTCCTCCTGTGATCTGTACAGGCCAGTGACTCCCTGCGCTGGCTGCATATTATAGTCCCCTGGAGAGTTCTTAGAAGATACTGTTGCCTGGGCCTCATGCTGAGAGAATCAGTACTTCTTGCAGTGGGGCTTCGGTAGCCTCACTTTTAAAAGCTCCCCAGGTGATTTTAGTGTGAACCACTGATGCAGGTAAGTATGAAGCAGTCATCATTGAATGGAGAACATCTCCACCAGTTGGCTAAAATCCTACTATGTACCCTGCCAAGACATTTTCACAAAGGCTCTCAGCCTCCAGGGACCTCAAGGACAGGTATTGTGTCCCCTGTAATTACTTTGGTATCTTCCATGGTACTTATCACAGTAACAGTTGGCTTGATGAGTTGTAGAACTGTAGGCTGGTTGGAACTTCTCTGATCATTGTGCCCATTGTTTGTTCTGCAGAATTCTAAGGGTCTACGGAGTGACCTTGCAATGGTTGCAGGTGGAGATGTGAGTCACTAAGTTGGAAAATTTCTAGGGAACTTGAAACGGGAGCTCAGAAAGACTATAAAAAAACAGCCTGCACTCCTTGGTCAAGGTAGGACCCTTTAGTATGAAGTCTCAGCTCTGAGACAAGCCTGTACATGAAACCTCAAATCCAGGAGAACTAAAGCAACATTACCAGCTTTCCAATTTAAAACCCAAAGACATGGCAGAACCATTTTGAAACAGTCACTGCTGCCCTCAGGCCATTAGTGTAGCTCGCCACATCTTCTTTTCCCTTGGGCTATGGGTGCATGGGTCTGCTTCTCATAATAGAATTTAAAAACCTGTAAGAATGGAAACTCGTGTTATATTTCTTTGTATCTAATGCCATGTAACTCCACAGCCAGTACATGGTAGAAAACTAATAAAGATTTCTTTGGTAGGATAAACAGTGGGGCAGATAGCACTTACTCTCTGAACTCATATACAGAGTTAGTGCATATACAGAGGCCCGTGCATATGCAAGTATGAACTCAGAAGAAATTGAGAAAAGAAATACAAATAACCAAAAGACAGAAGGAAAGATTCACATCCCTACTGAAATTTAAAGGAGAGTAACTTTTAAAACATATTTTTTTTTTTGTTTTGCCATCAGATGTCCAAAGGATTTTGATCAATAATACCCTTGGCTAATGGGAGTGTGGAAATTTGCAGTTTTAGAGACTGTTAGAAATATAAATTGGAATAGCCCTTTTAGAAGACATACGGCACAATAATTGTAAATACGGATATTGGACTCACTATTTTATTTCTAAGAAAATCCAAAGGAGGTTATTGGATAAATATTCAAAATGCTGCTTATCATTTTAAAAATGGAAATAACCCAATTGTCCTTAAAATTGTTCTCAAAAATAGGATTGATTAAATAAATTGGGTACATCGCACAATAGAAAAATGAGCTACCATTATGGATGAAGTAATCTCTAAATGAATAATGAGGAAAGATATTCATATATTGTTGCTAATTGAAAATTCTAGATTATAAAGTAATATGATTAACATGGTCAAATTTTAATAGAATGTGAATATTTAATATTCAATATTATATAGGAAGATTTTGATAGATTGATAAATGAAATTAATCTCTTCAAGGGATAAACACTTAATTCTTAGTCCAGGTGGTGGGTTTCTTTACAGGCATTCCACTTTTTATCTCACATATTTCTCTATTCTTTCATTACTTTAGTAATCTATGTGCACTGCTTACTTTTACAGCCCACTAAATCTAACTCTGTTTCAAAAGAAGACCGAGTGTATGCATCAGTAAAAGAACAAGAGAGACGCACGGGGCCCATGTGCATCCTGGCCCAGTTGGGCAGGGTCTTGATCTCCTCAAGATTTTCCCATTAGTCCCCTCCATGAATTGGAGGACCTTGCAGACAGATGCCAAATCAATGTACAATGGCAGAAAAATGACAGGGAAGGAAAGAACAGAGGAAAGGAATAGCCCAAGCACTTAGGTATGCCTGGATTAAAGGGTTTCTTGAGATGTAGAGAAGGAGAATTACAGGAAAGCGAGCATGAATGGCCAACTTAGCAAGAGGAAGAGTGACTCTGACCTCTCCCTGGTTAGAACACTTCCTGTAACTTTCAACACCCTGTTATGCAGCAGGACAACTTGTACCTAGACATCAAAAGAGACAGATTCCAATTCCAGGTCTAATACTAAATAGCTCTGTAATAATAGGCAAGCCACCAGGATTCTTTAGGCATCAACTTCTTCTTGTGAAGTTAGAGAGAGGGACCAACTGTCTCTAAAGTGCCTTGAAGTTCCATCATTCATTCCTGAGGCCTCTATCTGAGACCTGGCAGTATTCTAATGGTGATTATACGCGACAATCTTCTCTCTTTCTCCATAGTACGCCCTTAACGTTTTAAGAATAAAAGCTACGTATTTCTGTTTATATGTGTCTCTACGTACAGTCCTAAAATTCATGAGTTGGCTCTTGGTCTGGTGGGCTCTCAGGGAAACAGAGGTTGGCTTTCCACATAATTAAGTCTGGGCAGTCCAAGCAGGGCCCAGCATGGCAGGAAAGCATTATTACTACCCAAGGCTTTTAGCAACAGATGAAGCGTGTGAAGGAAACAAAATGGCGGATGACAGCCATTAGCTGGGCTCCGGCTGTGACATCCAAAGCCAGGTCAAAAGGAGGTTGCTGTGCATTGAAACTGACTGGGGAGGGTTCCTTTTGCTCATCTCCCAAGTCTGTTTTTAATGATGTCACCTTGGTACTCTCACATCAGCCACAGTGGGAATATTTACCCCATACAAATTGGGAAATGCTAATCTAAGACTTTTTAAAATTATTTGTTTTTGAAAGAGGAAATTACCAGATCTCATTGACTGGTTTAATTCAGGAAGAGAGAGGCAGTTCCTGGCATGGGGATCCTTCTGATGCATGAGTGTCTTCAAGCTGATGCACAGAATTTATCCCATATTGAATGACATCAAAAAGGTCTTTTGCTTCAGGACTAGGTAAAAAAGTATCAAAAGTCCAGTAACATGAGAAGAGATAATGAAACGGAGGAGAAAAAGAAAGAAGTACAGATGTGTAAACTGAAGCATAATGTTCATCTAATTTATTCATTCGCAGGTCATCTGGGTAAGCAAGGAGTTTCCCACCATACTAAGTATTCAAGTAGGAGCCAGCCAACCACTTTGCAAGAAAGTATGAGGACAATGGAATAAGATAGTAGAAAATGCAAAAGCTTCGGAGCAAAAATGGTTTAGGCTTAAAGTCCAACCTAATGATAAACCATCTGTTTGATCTCAGATAAAATTATTTAGTCTCTCTGGGACTCAGCGTCTGCTCTTTTCAGTGACAATGGTGAAATTTAATTAACAGTATCTGGGCCAGTTCAATCCAGGCTTGGCCCCCAGTATGTATATGGCTGACCAGCATTTACAGCCTGAACTACTGGAATATAGATCTTATTTGTGACACTTTTATACCTTGGGTTCTTTTTATAAGATTTTTTTTTGTAAGAAGTTTGACTTTTGAGAAATGGTGCCAAGCAATTTCTACCTCGATTGACATAAATTCTTCAGTGAGCATTCCCAAGCTTTCTCTAAGCTAAGCCGGTGAACAAATAAGTGTGGCCTTCAAACTAGTCACAGGAATAAAGCAGTGCACTCTGGGGAGGTGACTTGCAGCTTCCAGCACCTTTTATTCAGTTCTAATGGGAATCCATGCAAGCAAAAGCCAGGTTTCAGGAAAGATTTGAGGTGGATTTGGGGTGGGTGCAGCATAGAGATATGAGTTGGCTCCATTAGGGCTTGGTTATCTGCTACTCAGAAGGATTATGACCACTCCCTCCCATATCCCACCACATAGGAGACAGGTCAGTAAAGAGACCAAAGCCCCTAGTCAGTCTAAACTTACAACAGTCCAAACATCAAGGCAGCACATAGTCATTAAATGTGAGTCTCCTCTTGTGCTGATCCTCTGCATAATCCATGAACCTCACCTTGTTCTAGAGATGTTTTCTTGCATTAAGAATTCTTACCCTTAGAGAGTCTGAAGATCATACCCAAAGGCAGTGTCTCTGAGGTGTCTGATTATGATGGATTTGATTGATGACTTTTATCCCCATTGCTCCTGGTCCAAACATGCTCCTTCAAAGCCCAGTTCTCAGTAGAATCCCTAAAACTCCAAGTGTAGTAAGAAGATGGATGTGACATGCTTCTTAGAAGTCCCAAAGTTAGTGGTCATGCTTTTGACTTCTCCAGGGGGGCCTACTCCTTGTTAATGCTGTACTATGGGCCAGAGATCTCCACATCCCTGGGAAGTGCCCAAAACACAGAAGGATGAGAAGCAGTATGGCAGATAAGTGATACATCCAAGTTTTGAGATATACCCAGGAGTTACAAGAATGTATATTCAGATTTCCTGTCACTTGCCCAATACCTGACCTTGGAATGTATCACAGCCTGTTTCTGGACTTCATCTTCCCCATGCATAACTCTTATGGGGTCTATTTATTTCTATCCCAATCTATCAACTTCTCTTCATCTGCACTGATACCTCTTAAGACTACTTCCCCAGTCTCTTAACTGATCTCCCTCATCCACTCACCACTTGCCCCTCACTCAAATGTATGATCAGGGGGAAAAAGTAACCATAAGGATGCTTATAAAGAAAGAGGAGGAAGGGAAAGATAGTAGTGGAAAGTCTTTACTTATCGTCTCAAGTAAAGGCATTTTCTAGCAAATCAAGACTAGAGAAACAAGGAGAAAGATTCTGGCTAAGAATATAAAAGAAAATCTCAGTCGCGAGATGAAGGTGTGACTCTTAAGGAAAAAGAACACGGCAAGCATGGACCCCCAGAGGTAGTGAGAAAACAGGACAGGGTGGGAAGGTGAGAAGTGTGGAAGGGCAGGCCCTGACCACTCAGGCTGGGGACAGCTAGATCAAGGTGAAAATGAAACGCAAAAAGCCACTGTGATTGCTGCAGAAATGCAAGTGGAGCTGCAGGAGTGAGGCTTCTTCCCAGGCCAGAGCCCAGTGGAAGCGTGCCCTCTCTTGAACATCAAGTCAGCCTGAGCTCTACTCCTCGCACACTGCCACTTCTCTGTCCAGGTGCCAACTGGTCTTGCAGGAGCTCCCAGACATCCCCCTTCTCATCATGGAGGCCTAGCTGCTGCTTGAGAGAGGGCATTTTGGGGCTTACTGGGCTGTTTTTAAAATCCAATTAAACCACCCAATGAAGAAGCTATATTTATCCATATTTTAAGATAAGGAAATTGAGGCTAGATGAATTTTTAAGGCCATAGTGTCAGAATGTGGCAAAGACAGGATAGAGCCAGTATTTTAATAATTTGAATTTTCCCCCTTGGTTCTAAAAGTAATGTATCCTTATTATGAAAATACACAAACTAATAAAATAGCAAAATGAAGGTCACCCATAACCTTCTACCAAGAGAGAAATAAAAATTTAGTATATTTTCTTCTAGTTTTTAATTCAATTTCTGCATATTTACTTATTTACAAGCATAGGATCATATTGACTAGCCTTTTAAAATCCTTTTATGGGATGGAAAATTTCTCTGAGACTATTATATATTCTTGAGGAACTGATTTTACTTGTTCATAGCAATACAACATAGGGCTACACCATAGTCTATTTGGCCTTTTTTTCTGCTTTTCCACATTTAGGTTACTTTCCTTTTTGGGGGTGTAAGGCAGTTCCCTTGCTATAACCTTTGTAGGCCCTGAAACTAAACTTTGGAATTTCACAGAGTTGCGTAGACGTACAGATTCAGTGAGGGAAAGTACACATGTAAAGTCATCATGACAAATAATGTCGTCATAGGGAGAGAACTGGGAGGTAATAGGAGAAAGAGAGGGTTGTTACTTTGTGAGATCCAGGAAGGTTTCATTGAAAGAGTCACCACTGATTTTGAATAGGGGTCAGCAAGCTTTCTGTAAAGGACCACAATGTGAATATTTTAGGCTTTGCATATAGTCTCTGTTGTATCTATTCAACTGTGTCATTGTAGGGCATAGGCAGCCATAAACAGGACAAAAATAAGTGGATGTGTTTCTGTTCCAATAAAACTTTATTTACAAAACCAGGTAGTATGCCAGATATAGCCCACAGGCTATGTATAGTTTCTGACTCCTGATCTGGAACACTAAAAGTAGAGAAAATGTTTTAGGACCTCACTAGAGGGAGAAGAATAAGCTAACTAGAAGTAATTTGAGAGTAGAAATGCAA